ATATGGACTCACAACTCCTATGTTAACTTGTGTTTCTAAGTGTGGTTTGTACTCATCCTCTGTGCCTTCGACTGTATGGTCTCTGGCAAGAGTCCATCACAAAAAGAACAGCTATAGAGAAAACTAGAAATGGGCTTAAATGCCTCAACTCAGCAACTGGGGGCAATGAAGGCATCAGACACAAAGCTTACCACTAAGACAGGGGACAGGAAGGCAGGACGCAGTTTCTGTATCTTCAAGATTCCTAGTATCTAGTATGTAATGAAGGGAGTGTGGCTGGCTGCTACTTATACATGAATAACCCATCAAACAAACCTCATAATCTCTTTATGGCTGTCGTGTGTTCTTACATGTTCTAAAAGCTATCTTCATGTCAAGGGGGCATCTGAAAGCTGCTCTGAGATTTGGTATTTTTCCAAAGAGATATTACAAGACACCCAGTTGCCACACTCACCACCCAGAATGAGCAAATCAAAGCCAGAAAAAAAAAATGCAACATATGTTCAACCAAATAAGGAACGAACTATTGTTTTGGCTCTTTAATACTGTTATTTGGGGTTGGGGTTGTGCAATTATTTCTCTTTATTTTGTGATTTTTTTTTTTTTTTGCTCTAAAGTGAAATGTGTGCTTTAAAAAAATTAAGTGTCTGCCGGGCAGTGGTGGCGCACGCCTTTAATCCCAGCACTCGGGAGGCAGAGCCAGGCGGATCTCTGTGAGTTCGAGGCCAGCCTGGGCTACCAAGTGAGCTCCAGGAAAGGCGCAAAGCTACGCAGAGAAACCCTGTCTCGAAAAACAAACAAAAACAACAACAACAAAAAAAAAAAAAAAAATTAAGTGTCTGCGAGCCTACCAGTTTTGCACACTTTCATTAAAGAGGCCTAAACAATGGAGGCTCCCCCAGACTTGATGGCTCAGCAAGGCAGACTGGACATGGAGAGTCACAGAGAGACACTCTGTGGATTCAGTAATGATCTTTGGAAATGGTGTCTTCTAGATGATGCTTGGAGGCTATGACCTGCCTAGGGGGTGCACAATAAAACCATACAGAAACTACATAAAACAAAAGGCAAGGTACAGCGTGAAGCCGGTCTCCAGCCCTGTGGTGGCCCCTTGCTCACCCGAAGTGTAAGAATACAAGGCGGCTGCTTCCACCCCTCACTCAGGGAGTCACTCTGTGTAACTTTGCAAGGTTTCACCTCAGGTTTGGTATCAGCCACAGCACCTGCCTCAGGACAGAGTTTATAGGGCCAACACAAGGAGCTTGCTGACTCAGCCCTAGAGAAGCAAGGGCAGCTTCTCTAAGAAAACTGGGGCACGCAGAGGACGGACGCCTTCCCAATACAAACTGGGCGGCTTGTTTATAAAACTATATCCAACAGCGAGCTTCTATTGCAAATGGGTAATATCAGAAGATACAGTTATTCCATAAACAATGAAATGAAAGATACAGTCAGAATAACTACAGGCTAAATCACAGCCAGCTCTGTCTTTGAGGCCATTTAGGATCTGAACGTAACGGAAGAGCAGGGGATTCTCAGACCACACGGTCACAGTATCCCCATCGTCAGATCACTGGCAATTAGAAGAGTTTATTAGTTATGCAAATTAAGCCCAAGGCTAATTACTGAAATAGGTCGCTTGAAAAGTCAATTCTAAACACGAAGAAACCCCATATATATCATTTTGCCACATGTCAAAGCAAAGAATCATTGTGGAGGAGGATTAATGAGGAGGCCTATCGTTGTAGCATGTCACTTCTTAAGAGAACTCAGGGGAGAAATGGGGGGTATAAAATACAGTCCCAGTTACACATTTATGTTTACTATAAAACCCAAAGATGCAGTGACTTTAAGCTGGATAACATGACAAGCCAAATAAAAAAAAAAACCCTTGTTAAAAAAAAAAATGGGGGCCAGATCCTGCTGGCTTTAACCGGGAAATATCACGGACACATCCGTGGGTCTGTATGTCTGACCATCACAGTTTGGACAACGGTGATAAAATAATGTCCTAGAGAAGGAAATTAAAGCGACTTCCTCATTAAGCCCAGGCAACATAAGTTAGACATAAGGCTCTGGACTCCCAGGGGACAGCCCAACACCGGCGAAGCCATGTGTACATCCCCACAGGGGCATGCCAGGCACTCCTCCAAACCACAGCTGCTCCTTTGCCCCCAGGACGGAACCAGCATATGATGCTCCTGACACTGCCTGGGGTGAAAGTGCCCAGCAGCCAGCTGCTAAGTCTTGGAGTCAGCAAACACACCCTCAAAACTGAATCAATGCTTTGCAGCGTTAACATGTGCCTATGAGTCTGAGCGCTTCCTAGGGTGCTACCCAGCCATCTTCATGAATGCACTGGTATAAAGATCACTGCCTGCACAGACTTTCCTTCTGGAGAAAAAAAAAAAAAAAAAAGAATGGGACTTGTGGTTTTTTTTTGTTTTTTTTTTCTTTTTTTTTTTTTTTTTTTTTTTTTGTGTGTGTGTGTGTGTGTGTGTGTGTGTGTGTGTACACGCGCATGAGCGTGTGTGCATCCTGGACACGTGTTTGATAGGAGACTTGGTGACTTTCTCAGATCCCTTGACTGTTTTGATACTATTTTAAAATTTGATCTTATCACTTCCCTCCTTTCAAGGGAACTCGTACGGCAGGGGACGCTGCTATGGGGGGTGTGAGAAACTGACTTCTGCATGTTGCTAAGTATTTGAATATCCTCTTCTGCCTGTGACGTGGGGGAAGCCTTTCAACCTTGCTGCACTAGGCTTCCTGGAAAAGTCCCCAGCCACTCACAGGCCTGGGAACATCTTGCTGCAAGCAGTATTCTCACAGCGTCTCACTCGACAGCCAAGGTTTTGTTTTGAAGATGCTTTCTAGTTACTGGATGTATAGAAGAATCTTGTGTGTGGAGCAGCCTGGCTTTCAGCTTGAGATCATCTTGCTTCAGCCTCCTGAATTACAACAAGCCATCCCATGCTTTGACATGGCAAACCCTAACTCTAAGGACGGTTCCGGGAGGCAGAGGAATGAGAAGCATATCATAAAGTTGTTAACATGGCCTAATGGATTCTCCGAAAGAAAAAACAAGAAAACCAACAGGTGCCATTATTGGGTAGATTGCTATTAACTACAGATTAAATTGTATGTGCAAGTCCAAACCAAACCTCCCACACACTGAAGAGCAGTTATGACAGGCTCACTACGATGCACTAAGAGATGCCGGTAAACCGATCAGTTAGCTGCATTTTGTGTATATTATTTGAAATGAAAGGTTAACTCTTTAGTGTTTACCAAGCTTCCCCTTGCCCTCCGTAGGAAGCTGGGATTTTTAATGCCATCTTTTTGAAATCTGAGGTTAAGATCGAGGAGAGAACTATGCTCCCCACCCAATGTAGGAGTCCTAGGACTTCCTTTGACAGCATTTTCAGGGTCAGGCATCTCCCATCTTGTGGACAGCTCAAGCACATGCTCAACCTTCTTTCTCTACTCACCTGGAGCAGTAACCTTCTGAAGGGAGCTAATCTGGGGTCAGTTTCATTTTCTCCAAAAGTCATGCTAGATCATGGCATCTGTTAAGTCCTTATTCGTATATACGTGTGTTTCCAAAAGCTTAGTTTCCATGTATTTTACCTTGTAACTACTTCATAGCTTCAAAGATGGCCCTATTATCTTACCATCCCATCTGCCTTGTTTCATCTTACAATGTTTTTATTTTCAGTTTATGGTGATTATTCCATTAAATATCTAACTGAACCACACCTTTTTTTTTTTTTTTTTTGTTATTCTTAGAAATCTATTTTGTATGTATCATGTTAGCTTCAAAAACCGGTTCTCAGTCTCGGTGGCATTTGAAGCAACAGACAAGATAATTACTGCCTGTGACCACCTTTGCTTTAATTACTAATGTAAAAAATACACACCAAGGAACTCTAGATGAATATATACAGTGAATCGCTGCTGCTGTAATATAAAGAGCAGGTCGTAACTCGAGAAAGCCAGACTTCCAATCTAATGATACGGTGCTAAGGGAGCCAAGCCAGAGGCCAACTGTACCACAGGAGCTGAAGTCTAGGAAAACGGAGGAGGGAGTGTAACTTGAGGGGACGTAGCTCAGTGGTCAAGCACTCGCCTACACGAATAGGGAGTTTCATCCTAAATACTACAATTTAAAACAACTACAAAAAGCCCACAGAGAATATGCCATGAAAACAAACAAATTAACCAGAATCTCGTTGTTTGACCCATGTGAGCAGCTGTACCAAGGCCCATGGTACTGGGACCGGGAGAGTTGGTTGGTGCTAGCTGTGACGTGTGCACAGTAGGCGTGTGTCACAATGGGCACAGCTCACACATGCACTTCAGATCTACCCCAGTGAATATCTACCCTCGATTATGACAGATACGGGGGTGTCATTCAGGCAGCACACCTAGGCTTTTAGTCAGGACTCAACATGACCACTTGTACTGGCACCTGTCTGTAAGCCCCATGCTTCTAAGCTCTGAGCTCTTCCTGTCTGGAGTGACAGTGTCCTGGCGAAGCGTACCACAATTACACTTTGCTCTATTGAGTCCTAGCTTTGAAACACAGTTCTTGGAACAGAATTGCACACTAAATGAATGAGTGGATGGATGGATGGATGGATGGACAGATGCTGGATGGAGAGAAAAAGCATCACACAGATTTACCTATCAAAACCTCACCAAAGGTCCTTAAAGATGGTTTTGTTAGTAGAAATGCTGAGTCCCTTCATATAATTTACTTATTTCAACACCATAAGAATCCTGGCAGGTTCGCCCCAATGAGTATTTATATTTAATTAATACTGTTACTACAGGGTCCCAAATTTCAATTAATTTTTTTTTTTTTTTTTTGGAAAAAAAAATGAACAAAGCTTCTCAACAAATTGTTTACCAGGGTAATTTAAAGGAAACAGAAATCAATACAAACCTAGTTAGCTTATCCTAATTCCTATGAAACAAAGAGAGAGAACTATACTTACATATAATGTAGTAATCTTTGTTCTTCTGAAATTCTAGACCCCAGAGGTTAGGGCTGAATTCTTGAAACTTGATGGTGAATTTCACATCTTGGTCTGGTTTGGCACAGTTGAGCAGGGGCGTGTTTTCCTTCTTAATAGTGCATCTGTCTGCTTGATCTTTATCAACCATATAAACTTTATAATATTCATACTGGCCAACAGTTTTAGAGTCCACTTTGGGGCAAATAATATCCAATTTGTCTCCTATCTGTGGGTATAGTACCAGGCCTTGTCCGGGTAGAAATCTAAAAAGCATAAAAGAAAAGCCACTGAGTTGATAAAAGTGAACATCCTTGAAGACAGGCATCAAAGAACCAGACACCCATCACCCCCAACCATGGACATCTCAGCACCACACTCTGATTCAACAATGGCATCTTCAGGGGACAAACGCTTTGAGGAATTAACCTCAGAAAACAAAAGGATGAACTACCCTTTCTTTGAACCGTCAGAACAGCAGCCTGCTGACACTTGGTTCTCGCCCCCGCCCTTGTAATATTCCAGCACTCTTTTGTGCAACTTTATAACAACTCTTCCCTGGTGGTGAGTCAGACCTTCCCACCTGTTTGTTATTTTTTAACCATTGGCATCGCGGTTTATTGGGCATGCCAGAGAGATCCCATCAATTCCAGGAACAGCGCATGCACAGAACCTTTGTTGTCCTGGTAGTTTCCATGTGCTGTTGATATTAATTAACAGACAAGTTTCATCAAGAATGTTTCAAATTACTTATCATAATTAGCCAGTCACTGATCAAACAATGGGTTTTTTATTACACAGAACAAAAGAAATGTCTTACAAACCCATAAAAGATAACCAGAAATAATTAGCATCGTATTGATTCAGCTGCAAGATGAAGAGCCCTCTCCTCGTGAGGACAACAAGTACCTCCTTGGTCTACAAATCTCTCCTTTCCCCGCCTCCCTTGAGATGTATTTGCTCCAATTAATTCTTCGACAAATCTTTAGAACTAAGACTACTGATACAAAATCCCTTGGATGCTCCCAGCTAAAAGCTCTCCTCCTTTCCTTTCTTGCTGGCCATGTTGCTGAAAGATCTTCCCTAATGGGGAGTTTCTCTGAGACACTGAAACAAGGGCTTCCTAATGAACATCCTTCTGCGAAGGCTAACATTAACAACACACTCGGAGAGAGTGGCCAAGCCTGCAGGCTCATTAAAATATTAAAGCTCCCGAACAAAGCACTGCCTCCCAATCCTTCCAGCCTGGACTCTGGCATTATTTAGCCAGAGATGCCCACCAGCCTTGATGACCCTTGGGGCCAGGATGCAGCAACAGATAAGGAAAGGATGATGGGGCTCCCAAAGTTCAAATCCATACCAACTATCAGTGATTTATGTAGCAAGCCACCAGTTCTCAGCCAGTGTATTATTCGGTTACAAAGTAGCAGAAGGCACAACTTACATTTCAGACTCATATTCAAAACTGATACTTTAATATTTAAAAAAATTTGTACATGTATATAATGTATCTTGGTCCTAAACATGCCCTATTCCTTCCCTCCAGGTCCCACTGCTCCTCCCCACCAAAACATACATTCCTTTCACAGCTCCATGTCTTAAAAAATAAATAAATAAATAAATAAATAAATAAATAAATAAATAAATAAATAAATAAATAAATAAATAAAACAACTCCCTGAAACTTTTTTAAGGCGCGCGCACGCACGCACGCACGCACTCACTCACGCGCACACACACACTACATATGCACAAGGTTGCCTGTTGTTACTTCCTTGGGTGTTCTTACACAACCTCAAAGAGAGGGTGGTCCACTGACACCAGGTTTTTTGTTGTTTAATTAGTCCCTTTAGCAAGAACATATGACATTTACTGTTCACTCACTTAAAAACAAAAGCAGGACAGGCAGGATGGCATAGTGGGTAAGGGGCTTGCAGCCAAGCCTGATGACCTGAGTTCAATCCCAGGGACCCACATGGTGGAAGAAGCATCCTCCAAGCTGTCGTTCTGACTTGTAGAGCACACTGCCACCTGCACTAGCCCTCCCCCGGATATACAAATGGGTGTGTGTGTGTGTGTGTGTGTGTGTGTGTGTGTGTGTGTATTTAATGGTGAACAGGATCGATTTATAATGAAATCTTTCTGTGAGACAGAATTCAAAATGAATTTATAAATTGTAATGAATTTTTTTTTTTTTTTTTTTGGTTTTTCGAGACAGGGTTTCTCTGTGTAGCTTTGCGCCTCTCCTGGAGCTCACTTGGTAGCCCAGGCTGGCCTCGAACTCACAGAGATCCGCCTGGCTCTGCCTCCCAAGTGCTGGGATTAAAGGCGTGCGCCACCACCGCCCGGCTAGTTGTAATGAATTTAAAGCATCCACGTGTATATTGCTGAAGAATTCTCTATAACTCTTAACAAACTGAGAGAACGATTGAAGAGGCCTCGCTGTCATTCCCCACAATTATCAGGAGACTTGGGAAAATACAACTCCAGGGACTAAAGGGCTTCCCCACACACAGCTCATTCTTTCAGGTGGGTACTAAAGGGCTTCCCCACACACAGCTCATTCTTTCAGGTGGGTACTAAAGGGCTTCCCTACACACAGCTCATTCTTTCGGGTGGGTTCTTCTTGCTGGATAAAACTCAACCATGTACCATGGGGCCCACGTATCACCCTCTCCTCCTTTCCCCCAAAGTGACTCTGAGGTGTCCTGTGGCTGTAGCAGGACAAGATGGGGGGCAATAGGTACTACACTAAATTCCAGGAACATTAAATGGCTCTCCCTCCTGGTTCTTCTTATTCCTCGACCTTTAAAGGAAATCCTTAAGGCTCATACAAACCAACCGGCAAACACCAGGGCCAATTCCCACCTGAGGCTTCCTGTCCTGCTTCACACTTGCCCTCTCCCTAATCTGTTCCTTCTGCAGTTAGTGTAGCTGGCACAGTGGGACACCATGTGACGAGCCAGCTAGCCTTGGTATATGTCTCCTACATAAAAACAGAAGTCTGTCAGTCCTTCAGGCCAGAACTTTTGCCATCTTGAGGTGGGAGGGGATGGTTCCCTGACCTGACAATCGGGGGTCTTTCTAACTGAGGTGTGTGTTCTCATCTTCCCATTCAGTTCTTTAAGGGTGAGGCACCACGCCCAGCTGACCAGTGGTATCTGTGCAAGTCTTGGGGAACACTCCCCCATCCACCCCTACCCACCCATGCCGTAGTATCCCTTAGGTCTGAAGTCTGGCTCATTAAGTTCTCTCTTCATTCAAAATTTTCCCAAGGTCTCTATGAGGATAGTTCTCTCGCTGCTTGCTGCTTAACTCCGGCATCACAGGGGGTCCCCTCTACTCAGATAAGTCACGACCCAGCAGTCTCTTCTATCACCAGGTCACCAGGCCCCAGTCCCAACACCGGTGCTGATGAACTGAGGTCAGGAACACTGGGCACATCAGCTGGTGTGGCTTCAAGAATTGCTGTGGTTTTTATGATAATTTTCAGGAGGAACAAATCACATAAATAATTTAGTGAGTTTTTGATTCATCTTGCAAATCAGCTTTAATTCAGTGTGTGCAGTTTGGTGATGGAGCAGCATGGTAACCTGTGAACACACAGTTGGAGGGGTGGGATCTTAAGTTCTAAGTACATGTGTATGATGTAGTTCGGGCCAAACCTACTGTTTCTAAAGCTTCAAGGAAGATAAATACAGGAATCTGATCTTTTTCCCAGAAAAAAGTTGCTGTTCCAAGTGTTCATGAAAGAAAGAGAGAAGCCTCTGCCTGGCAATCCACAGGGAAGGACTCCACACGGAAAGGCTGCACCGACTATTTGAAGTCTGTCTGCGGAGGGTCAGCACACCATCACACCCACTGGTGAGACAAGGAGTTCAGCTGAGCAGAGGACAGCGAGCCATCCCAGACTCTCAGAGCAGACCTCCAGAGCTCGCCCTCCCCTTCCCAGAGCCAGAGTAACGCAACACAACGACCACACTGGGGCTTTTGCTGTAGACGGGGACAGGGCAGTGCTCTCCTCCAGCACAACCACCGTTTCAGCCGGACAGCTGCGACTGCCTGCAAGAGCCCCTGGATCGGGCCTGTTGTCTGCTGACATTTTCCCCATGGAAAGAAGGGGCGGGGAAGACCAAGGCACCCTCGGACTCCGATGTCACCTGCCAGCCAGCTGTATGCAATTCTGCATTACAGGGCCTTGTATGCTCTAGAGGTGCTAGCATTTACAAACTGTGAAAGGTTACCGAAGGCAAAGTCCATCGATGCAGCTACAGGGAAGTTGCCATCCATGCCGGCGTGAGACTATTCAGTGGTGTGGCTACTTTCGGGTCACCCATGCTCTCGTAGGCAATCCCTCAGCCTGCTCTGCAAAGGAGCCCAAAATATTCATTGGTTTCCCCAAGCTGGACTTCGACGGAATCATACTTTGGTTTGTTGGTGGTGTCCTACGAGGATGGAGTAGGCATTTGCTTACATCTCCCAAGGAAAGAGTTCCCATGACACAGTCTCACATATCCCAGGCTGGCCGAGAACTTACTATGTAAGTGAGGCTAGCCTAAACTGCTGATCCCCCTGCCTCCACTGCCCAAGGGCTGGGACTGCAAATGTGCATGTCCAGCAAGTTGCATATTGTTCTAGGTGTTCTGAGTGATGTTCAGAGATGAAGACTGGGTCTTCAGGAGCTCATAACTCTGCTCCCCAAAGGAGGGCTGCTCCCACATGTGTGTGATCCCAAAAAAACGCTCAACAAAATTATGTCTTAGTGGGAGAACAGGAGTGAGCAAGGCGACACATGCTGAAGTCACATTATGTGCCCCAAGCTGATGGCAGGTCACAGCTAAGATTGGAGCTCTGAAGACAGGCCATTTCACTGGGAAAAACACATAGCAGAACCAAGCCAATGTGTCATTCCACTGACTCACTGGGTAGTTTCTGACCCTGACTCTGTGGGTCTCCACAGCCTCGGGCAACCTCCAACCTCCTTGTTTAAAGCATAAGATGGCTGCCACACACATCCAGTGGCCGCTAACCACAAGACCTGTCCGGTGCAGAGCTGAGCCTTGCTCCCCTCCCCTCTCACCCTAGAGTCTAAGCCACACAAGCACACCTTGTCGAAGAGATAAAGCCCTCGGGGAGAGTGATGAAACCCAACAGGAAAAGCCCTTCCCTGCCCTTCTCAGTTCCCACTGTATCGTATTAGTATCTAAATCTGGTTTTGTGAAATACATGTTTTCCTAGATCAAGTTTTTCAGAGATAAGCTATGAA